AGGACCACTCTATACTCTATATTCAATAAAGTCACCCTATATTTGCCCCTTTCTGCTTCTCATAGGGACAAACCCGAGCAGCGTAGCGAAGCAGAAAACATCCCATGAGACACCGAAGAACCAATTTTCAGCTTGATCTTGGCTCAATTTCTCTTCCTACAAAGAAAACTTCCCTGGGCATCGTGATTTTGGTCAATACTCATTTTGTACAGGATGTCCCACATCAAAGCTAAGGTGTCTACTCTTCATACATGTCTCTCTAAGGCTGGTCCATGCTGAGGCACCAGAAACCCCCAGTTATTCAGGTAATTAATTAGAGAGGGCCAAACAAACTAAGCCTCATCCAATCGTGGGGCTGCAGGAGCATTTGCAGCATGAGATGTGACAGCAAAGGAGGAGAAGAGTCACTTACCAGAATAATTTCCTTGGTTTTGTGTGTCAGTCGCTGTGGATGAAACCAAAGAAGATGGAGAAGTCCTTCCCGGATGCCGCCTAGCCCAACCCCTTGATGCCCCATGGAGGTTGTTCCCTACCCTCTTGCTTGCCCAGGCTTAAAAAAAAATCAACCCATGGTTTGGGGGGGTCTTTTGGGGTCACTCACCATCCCGCAAAATCCCTGGCTTTCCAGGCATCAACAACCTCTGCGATGCTCTTCACAGTCCGGCCATCAGGCAGCTTCAGGTCATCGCTGGGGTCACCATTGAAGTTGCCACAGGGAGCGCAGAGCCGGTTGACCAAGGCGGCCCTTACGGTCACCGTCATCTCCCCGCTGGGGCTGAAGAGCACATCCATCCCCGACGTATGGGAGATGGTGACGTTCCCCGCTACCGCGCTCAAGGAAATGGCTTCGGACACCACAGCTGGAAGGCGGGTGAAAAGGCCATTCACCTGCAGCAAGGCAAAATGCCAGAAACAGGTTAAAAAATCCCAGACTGCCCCGTAAAAATAGTACAGCACAAAGATATCATTGGGGTTGAACACCTCAGGGCATCTAAAGGAAGAGGAGATAAAACCCACCCAAATTCCATGTCTTAATTTAATTACTCCTCTTGCTCATCCGCAAGGGTTGCCCATGCCCTGCCCCGGCTTACCCACACCTCCATGTTGTTATTCACAGTGATAAAAGCTTCGCGGAAGAAGATGAAGACGGCCACGGCAGCCGGGATGCTGTCGTCCCGGCACTCGCTGACCTCCACCACTACCTTGAACCAGTTGGGTGACTGTTCGTTGCAAAGGGCGGCCACTTTGTAGGTGCCGCTAGCGAGGAGCCTTCCCCCGGCACCGTCAAACGTGGTCAAGGAGGCCCCCGGGGAAACCCGGCACTGGCCTACTCGCTTGACGCACCGCTGCGCCCCGTCCTGCGTGGCGCAGACCTCATCCGGGGGACACTGTATGTCCTCACAGACAAGTCCCTGGGACAGGTGGCAATTGCATTTTGTGGAGCAGTTGCTGGAGATGATGGTCTCACCCGCCTGGAAAGGAAAGGCTCAGAGGTTAATCCACATGGACACCATCTCCAAATTTTGGGGGGATTTCCCACCTTCAAGGGGGGAAGAAATTCCAGAGAGAGAAAGAAAAACCATGAAATGGACTTGGTAGAGTTTGTGCAACTCAACGAATTAGTTGTCCTTTTTTCTCTGGTCCAGCGGGGCAAAAATATGCATTTTAGGATGTTATTAATTGCATTATTTTGGACACGCGTCCTTAAAATGAAGTGGCAACCCACCTTGTTGAAGATTGAGTCCCAAAACCAGTTGCATTGGCTAAGTGGGACAACCAACCTCATCAAAGATGGAATCACCAAATCCGTTGCATCATCTAGATGGGACAACCCACCTCACCAAATCAGTCCCCAAACCTGTTGCACCATCTAGATGGGACAACCTACCTCACTGAAGATTGAGACCCCGAGTTAGTTGCAATCGACTCAATGGGACAACCCAACTCATCAAAGACCGAGGCCAGAAACCAGTTGCATCATCCAGACGGGACAACCCACCCCACAATCCTTCCTCAACCTGATTTCCACCAAAAACACCAAGGCCAAGCCTTGATGGTCAGCCTCACCTTGAAATACCGTCCCTGGTGCATGCAGCCACACTGCTCCAGGGACACACAGGCTTCTCCGTCGAAGAGGTACCCATCGTCGCACTGGCAGCCCTCGAAGCATGTCCAGCTGCACGGGGCCGGCACGGAGAGGCTGGCGCAAGTGAAGTCGCAGGTACGGGTGCAGAGCTCATAGTGGCTGTGGGGTGGGCAGGAGAGGGCTGGGAAAAAAGGGAGAAATACCGTTATTGCCCCCAAAAAATCACGACCCTTTTTCCTGGACCCAATGGGGCATCCCCATGGCTAACCAATGGTCTTGGGCATCTCTGATGGCTCCAAAAGATGCTAAAACCACCGAAGCCTGCTTTTAACAGCCAAGTTAAAGCATTTGCATATCACTAATCACCTCGAGGCAAAGTAGAGGGATGCCCGTTTCGAACTCATCTGACACAAATATTGATGGTTTGGAGGCGGTGAGCTGGAATTTCTTTCTTCCGGGGAGTTTTTGGTGGGAAATAGGTGGTTGAAGCCCAAAAACGAGGGGTTTTGGGAGGTTTAAAAAGAATTTCTGGGCTATTTGGTAGACTGGGGGGGAGTTAAGCAAAAAGCATCCTTGGATGATATTACACAGGTCATTCGTATAGCTTCTTGGTCCAGAGAGTGAAGGCGCGTTTGCGTCAAAAGCAGGAAAAAAAAGCCACGATTGCAAAATTGGAGGGTTTTGCTGGGGGAAAATGTGGCTTTGGAGGAAAACAGGAGCTGAAGTGGCTGCATGGAGATATTCTGGAGCACTTACGGCAAAAAGTGGTTGTTCTCCACCCGCTGATCTCGGCCCCGGCAGCTTGGCAAGCGGCAGCGTAGGCTTGGAGGCTGTGGCACAGGACATCACGGGCGCCGTCGGCAGCACAGACATCATGGAGGCAGTGGTTGAAATACTCCACCGGGCTCACCCGTGGGTGACATGGCCCAAAAGGTCCCGCCGGGTCCCGGATGAGCCCACAGGAGTCGCTGGCGCCATAGGGAGCAGTGTTGGTGGCGTTGCACGTGGGGCAGACCTTGCCGTTGCAGCCATCGGTGCATGCTCCGTCCTCCATCGGCATCTTCCAGGAGGTGACGAATTCCTCGGTGCTCTGTGCCAGGGACCCGCCGGGCAGCTGGAAGTCATCACTGGGGTCCCCATTGTAGTTGCCACCCAGTCCGCACATGCGGCCCCGGTAGGCGTCGGGGATGGTGACGAGGAGGTAGGTGACCACGTTGTAGAGGAGCCGGAGGCCGGCGGCGGTCTGGAGGATGATGTTGTTCCCTTCTTGGCCAATCCGTAGCTTCCTGTCCTCTGTCACTAGCGGCAGCGTGTAGCGCTCCCCATCTACCTGGGATGTGCACGTAGGATGGGGAGGGGTTTGCACGCACGTGTGCACCAGGGGATTTTGCATGCATGCACTCACCGATGGATTTCTTCCTGTACTCGTGCACCAACAGGCTTCGCATGCACCAGGGCATTCTGCACGCACTGGTGCAGCAGGGGCTTTTGCACACGTGTGTGCACCAGGGGATTTGGCATGCACACATGCACCAGGGGATATTGCACACACGTGTGCACCGAGGGATGGGGACATCCAGACTTGCCAGTGGGGGGATTTTGCATGCAGGTGTGCGCCAAAGGATTTTGCACACACGTGTGCACCGAGGGATGGGGACATCCCAACTTCTGGATCAGGGGCTTTTGCATGCATGCATGCATGCACACACCAGAGGATTTTGCATGCACGCATGCACCAAAGGATCTTGCACACACGTGTGCACTGAGGGACAGAGACATCCTGACTTACCAGTGGAGGGATTTTGCATGCACCAGGAGCTTTTGCATGCACGTGTACATAGGGGATTTTGCACAGATGTATGCACCGAGGGATTTTGCATGCATATATGCACCACAGATTTTGCACGCCTACGTGCACCGAGGTGCAGGACCCTCCTGACTTACCATCACCTCCCATTTCCGTCCCCTCTCCATGCTGACTGTGTACCCGTGGATGGAGATGACCACCTTCTTCATCAGGGCCACGTTGCCCGGACCGCCCATGTCGTGCTCCAGCAGCACCGAGAAGTTTGTCAGCCGCGGCGCTGGCTTGCAGATCCGCGCCAGGACATAGGTGCAGGAGCCCCGGAGGTCAAAGGCTCGCCCGTCGAACGTCACATAGTGTGGGTCTCCTGACACCACCAGCCTCCCGTAGCCAGCGGGGTAACACCCCAGCACCCCGTCCTCTACTCGACACTCCTCGTGGGCGCTGCAGAAGACCTCCTCGCACTCCACCACCCCGTTGGCTTTGCAACGGCATCTCTCCCGGCACGAGGCATAGAAATCCTCACCCTTCTTGTAGTAGCGGCCCCGGTGCTCACAGCCACACTCGCCCGCCGGCAC